TATACAACGAAAGGAGACTGCGACCACACAAAAGGCCACACCATCTTGGTCTTCATATCTTCGATAATTTAATTCAGCCAATAAAATAAGAATGGGATCTTTTAGGAAATTCAAGTATTTCCTTAGTGCCATTATTGTATCTTCCCGATAATTTATTGTTTTTCCCCATTTATTGACAAAGTTTTATAATGCTATTATTTCACCATAAGTTCATCATATTCATATTGATCATGTCTGTTTATTTGCAAATAAGCATAGTAATTATGCTTGATACTTCTATCTACACTCTCTAGTCAGGCAGAATGGGTTCCTTACAGATAAATGAGATCGACGAAGTTGTGGACTTGCATAGCCACCACTGCTTTGGTAGTCAGTGCAAATATTACGGATCATCGGCTACTGGACCTCAATCTTCGATCAAGCATTGTTCTGGCTCTGGTGTCCAAGCATTAGACAGCGAAGCGCTGATAGGAAACTGCCCTGAAGAAAAAGCTACATCAGGTATATTGACGTTTTGCCATGCCCGGGCAGGAAATCATGTTGAGACACGGATCCGAGACACCGTGATTGACTCCGTTTCATCTGTCTCATCGTCTTTGTGCTCCACTAATGAGCCTCGTTCTCGTTGGCACCAATCAAGCCTGTTCATGCCAAAAGACAGAAAGGAAGCTAAGGCCGCCGAGGATTATCCTATAATAATGAGGCCAACCCCCTCAGTACTAGCCTTATTACCAGAAGCCTCAAAAGCTAATACGGACGTGGGAAAAAAAGCTCCTGTTATTGGAGACAAATTCTTGCCCATTAGCTATTCTTGTTCTTCCCAAACGGATAGCAGCATCTCCGACTACTCTTGTGACCATAAATCGGAGTTGGCCAGACGTACAATTGGTATCGAAAGTACTTCTATGTCTTCTTCGAAAAAGGAGTCGAAGATTTCTAGTCAGACATGTCCACTGGTTCTTGTGAACCGGCCAGCTATCCATCCGACCTTAAGTCCACATAGTCCGTCGTCAAGCTGCTCCACAATGCCGTACTTACCTTCTGGATTTACTCTGGATGATTACAAAGCAGATAGAATCTGGAGAAGATGTGCCGAGTCATTGTCGCCCGAAGCTATGGACAATGCTATTATCTTTGCAAACAAGTCTACTACTACGTCCCCTAACTGGCTTTCCTTTTCCACTACCAAAATGCATTATCAAGACCAACTTTTCATGCAAGTGTCTCCTACTTCTCTAACTTCAATTTTTCCACCTAAGCCACCTCTATCAGCCTCATCACCACTTTTCGCTACTTCGTTGGACCAGTCAGCCGACGGCACATCGAAGGTTGGTGCTAATACTGCGATAGAGGCTGCCAATCATTCTATCCTCGACCCTGGTGACACAAGCTCAATGGTACTACCTAACTCAGACGAGCCAACTTCCTTTGGTACAGCTCCTGGAGAGACGAATTTACTTATCAGACCCCAGGATCATCCTAATGATTCTATATTGTCTACCAAGGGTAATTTGCTAGTGTTTAGAGTTCCCTTCGGTCATTAGTTGCACTTTTACAAGTAGTCTATCATATTGCTAATCAGAAGCTGTTCCGAGATTCATTATGAATTTTAGTATATATCCTCAAAATTAATGGATTCTCATCAAAAAAAGGTTAAAACACTAATATAACAAATCTATGACTATATCACCGATACTGTTGGTGGGACCAACATATCGAACCTATCCCTCAACTTCTGTTACAAAATGATGGATATAAAAAGATTAGCATGCACAGTTTTATTATCTTAAGCGCACTGAATATATGAATTAATACAGGCCTGACTCGCCTTAAAGGTTGCATCTACTCTTTACCCAAGTGGTATCATTAACTGTATGGCTTATTGAGGTTGTTTGACCTTGTTTTCGAAACATGGTCATATTGATAGGAAGACTTAGAGGTACGCACCATAGGAATGTGCCACGTCCACGGTTCAACTTTGGAAATGATCATACAGACAATGGACTCCGGACTAGATGCGTTCCTCTAAGTCTTCCAACCAATATGACCATGTTGCAAAAACAAGGTGAAGCAACCTCTATACAAGGAAATAAGACTGTGAGCACACAAAAGGCTACACCATCATGATATTCATGCCTTTGTATGGCTTATTGTTGAATTTACCGCTTTATGTACAGGATTCGAGATCAAATCCTGTTATAGGTGCTGTTTGGACCTGGATTAAGTTTAAACTCCAGTCGACTGAATTATATAGCCTTTTCAATATTAATTTAGAATCACATACATCTTGACGAAATTCGCCTTTCCGTCCTACATCACTTCAAGCGACCTAATGTGACCCATGTTCTTACATTAAAATAAAATTAGGTAAGAATTATATCTAGTTTTAGAAGAGAAGGTGGATAGAGAGCATGTATAGGTCATGAAAATCAGTTCCTAAAAATCATGAAAAAAGTTGCGATTTGTAATTATGTTGATTCCACTTAATATCACATATATGGATCTGGCAAACTAATTGTTATTCCATCTGCCTGCCCAGTTGCCTATCGGTCTCCGAACCGCCAAAATGTCTTATCACCTACCTAGTAATTTACCTTCATATCTAAATACAAATTATCCTACCTACTTATAAGCCTACATATTGACCTTAGTACTCACACAAATATTACTTGCTTACATTCATTTATCTATGCTCAACTACCCTCATTGAAATCGTTCAATTATGAAGATAAGAACCGGATTGTTGAGAGAGGCCCAACTAGAAGTTGGATGAAGTAGCTTGCCTACTTATCAACAAAAATGGGTAATTTGCAAGCTCACGGAGCCAAGTCAAACCAACAATTCCGGTACAAAAGGGGATGGCAGGAAAACCAACTGAGAGTGTAATTAAACCTCATTAAATCCTCCTAAAATGGAGGCAGTGATTGAGTTGCTTTGACTAAAGTTTGTTGTGACTACTTTCATTTCATGCTAAGGTATCTAATGGCAAGAATCGTAGGTGGATTCCACCAAAAAACGACAGCTAATATTTGTTATGAAGTGGTATAATTTTTATATGAGGTTCAGGTTGATGCCGTCT